AAAAAAAAAAAAAAAAAAAAAAAAAAACAAAAAACAAAAAACAAAAAAACAACAATCTATTAGTGTTGCTGGATATACCATCAAAAGTACATATACTACTTTATTTTCTCTTTTTATGGTGCTGGGAATGAAAGCCAGGGCATCAAACGTACTAAGCAAGTGTTCAACCACTAAGCTACAATCCCAGCCTATGATACATTTTCATGGAAGTTTAGAGTTGAAAAAGTAGTAACTGTTATGAAACTGTCTCATAAAAATAATTTCAATGACTTCCAAAAGCTACTTTGAATTTTTTTAGGAAACTTGTAGGGAAACATTACCTCATTTTTTTTTTTTTTTGCTAACTAAACTAAACCATGGGACTAGTTATTTAGAAGACTACTCCTAAGTAAAATACTGTGGCAATCTGGATTTGATTCAAGATTCCTGTATATAGACCAGTGGTTTATGTGTGTACATGTTCATATGTGCACATCAGTGTGGAGGACAGGTCACCATCAGCTGACTTGCTCCATCACTCTCTACATTATGTTTTCTTCCTGTTTTACATGTATGGGTGTTTTGCTTATATGTATGTCTGTACTACCTGAGGAGGCCAGGAGGCCAGAAGAAGGTATGAGATCCCCTGGGACTGGACTTATAAGTAGTTGTGGGCCACCATGTGGGTGCTGGGAATTGAACCCAGATCCTCTGGAGCAACAGTCAGTGCTCTTAACTGCTGAGTCACTTCTCCAATATTCTACCTTATGTTTTTAAAACAAGGTCATTCAAGGAATGCCAACAAGCTTTGGGGATCTGCATGCCCCCATCTTCCAGCACTACAGTTATAAACACAAGCCACTCTACCTGCCTTTTGATGTGAGTGCTGGGGATCTGAACTCAGGTCCTCACTCTTCCATGGCAAACACTTGACCTGCTGAGCCATCTTCCCAGCCCAGGATTCTTAGGGGGCACAAGTCTTATAAAATAAAATAGGTTTACCTGACAGATGACATAGGACACTGTATCTCCAGCTTTCACCTTCCTGCCTCCTTGAGAATTTATCCACAGGGCAACATGTACATGAGGTAGGCTTTTTTTATCAGGATAATCCTGGGGATCCTTTGTCAATGCCTAAAAGATTAAAAAAAAAATGGGAAAAATAAACTCACCAAATTTTAAAATAAAACCTTCTATACATATATACAACACATTTTTACTAGAATCATATATATTATATATATATATAAAACATGAAAATGACAATGTATACAGAAACCATGGTTCCTTTCTCTGTCATTTAGTAACTGGTATAACTACATACAAGCCTAACAAGAAGAAGAAATGTAAGTTTATGGGTGCTGCCACATAATATTTGAATATTTAAAATACTCAAGACTCTAGATCCAGTGTCCTATGAAGCCTTAGAGTTTCTCCTCATGTTTGTCGTTTTCTCATTTAATTAGTTGGGATTAGAGAATAGCTACTCTGACTTAATGATCTGATCTCAAAGGCTTCTCTAACTGAATAAACCTCCAATACACTATACAGCACTGAATTTACTCTGAATGCCAACTTGTGCTCTATAGAGAGCAATGAGTTTGTAACAGAAAGTGAGCACAAGATCAGGAACAGCACCAGTCAGGAGAAAGTTATTTTCTAACAATACTATTTGTACTAATGATACAGAAGAAAAGCTTGGTAAAACTGTTCAAGCTTTATAAATATGAATCCTAACAGTAGCACCAAATTGTACTAACAGTCAGTATATTACTTTCTACCACCATAGCAAAGTACTTTCCCTTGAGAACATTCTTGACTATGCAGTAAAAACTAGTAAGTTGGAGAGAATAGTCTCCCTTCTGTAGTCAAGGTTGACTTGGAACTCATTGTGCAGTGCAGGCTGGCTACAAATTTGAGGCAATCCTCCTGTCTCAACTTTCTGAGTGCTGGTATTACAAGTGTGAGCCATCATGTCTAGCAAAGTTAGCAATTTCTAAAGCTTTTAAACCTTGAGAATAAGTCTACTGTTTTGTGTTGGAGCCTGCTGACAATCAGCTGGCTATCTGGGTGAGGGCATGCAGATTGTAGAGACAATGAAGAAGACAAAAAAAGAGTTGAGAGGTCTGCCAGTCATGCCGAGTTTATTTCACAGACAGCTTATATGCATTTTTGAAGGACAGAGGTAGAACAATGCACAGCACAGGCATTCAACCATTAACTATCCTGCCTGGAGTCAAGGAGGAGACAGTTTCATTTTCTATCTCACTGTACCTCTGGCTGGCATCAGCAGCCTACATCTAGTTGGTGTGTTGCTTCCTGTAGGTTAATCAGACTTTCTCACTGCCCTTCAAGGAGACTCTGCAGGTTAGTCAGGACTTTCTCACAGCCCTGGAGCAAACAAGCTTGAACTCGACTAACTTAGAATAGACTTCAGATTCAAACTGGGAAACTGAGTCAGTTGTGGGCTTCCACAATTTTGTATGATTAAATGCAAAGAATACAAAAAGCATATCTGAAGAATGAAGGTTACTCTAGGAAAATTATTTGTGCAACTATTTGAGTTACAAGCTAAACTAACTACTGTTTACATAGAATGTAGTTTTTACTTGAAAGAATGGTAGGAAAACTATATTTTGACATATAGATCTAGCAGTTTCTCAAAAAACAAAAACCTTCAAACTAAACAAAACCTGCTACTTCAAGAAAAAAAAATCAATCTGACAATAGATATCATCAATGACAAAATTCAACCTTTCAAGTCCAATTCAAACTTTAGAAAATATGTTTCCACTTCTATGAGCCTGACAACTTCCCAATACTTAAGACATTTCTAATAAAGTAGGAGTATTTTAACAAGTGTTTTTACAGTATACGTAAAATACATCCATTTTAATACCTGTATAATTCAGGGAATAAACCAACAAATAATCCATAATGTCATACATGGATGAAATATCCACTCAAAGTTCAATACACGAGTGAATAAGATAAAAATACATGGTATATATGCATAAAGATGATATATAGCATATTTTTACAATGAATATACACAAACAAAAATAAGAAAAAAACCCAAAGTACAATACAGACCAGCAAATTTCAAAGTAAAAAAAAAAAATAGTTTACTGGTACGGTCTTAGACTTCACATTACAAATAACTTTAAAGACTATACAAAGATTAAAGATTAATAGAAAGACAACTCACCTTTCACATATGAATAAATGGCTAATTATAAATAGACACAGACCTCTATGATATATTTTACCAGAATTTACTATACTTGCACCAACACTATAGAAATGTTAAAAAAATAAAAACAAAAACCAGGGTCACACTCACTATGAAGCCTTGGCTGGCCTCAAACTCAACAAGTAGACAAAATTGGCCTTGAACTCAGAGATCTGCCTGCCTTTGCCTCCCAAGTGCTGGGATTAAAAGTATGCACTACTATACCCAAATGATACCATTCTTTATAAATAAAAACATAAAGGCTGGGAAGAGAGTTTTATCATTAAATAGCTCAACCCATGTCAAGAAAAACAAACAACAAAGTAGCCAGCTTAGTTGCTAGTACTTACCATCCTTAACAATGGAGAGGTGGAGACAGGTAGCTAGCTCCCTGAGACTCCTTAGCTCCCTGAGACTCCCTGGCCAAACCCACTCAGTAAGTTGTAAGTGAGAGACAAACCTGTCTCAACAAACAAAGCAAGGGCTAGAAAGATAGCTTCATTGGTATAGCACTTGCTGTGTAAGCAGGAGGACCTGAATTTGATTCCCAGAACCCATGAAAATAAGATAGACTTGCCATCTGAGCAGTGGAGAGGTGGAGACAGGAGGATCCTCACCCACCTAGCCTGCCCTACCTAGCAAATTCCAGGCCAGTGAGAGACTATCTCAAAGAAAGAAAAAGTATAGAAAACAAAAAATTGACCCAAAAATGAATATAAGTCCTAGAAAACATTCTCTCCAAAAATCAAATAAAAACAAATTAAACCCACTGTGAAGTAACATATCCACTGTGGTAACAATGTTTTATTTTAAAAATCATCACCATTACAAAGAAACTGTGATAAAAATAGCATGCATATTTTGATATTATTAACTGGTACCACCTTTTCATAAAACAATTTTCCTAGATCCATTGAAATAGTCATATCTTTTGACACAAATGTTTTATTTCAAGGAACGTACAATGAGAAAGTAATCCATCTAAAAGCAAAATGACAAGTGAATAAAGATGTTCAATGCAGTTATTTACAATAGAAAAGAAAACTTAATAATCAACAAAGAAAAAATTAAATAAACATGTCAGCAAAATAGATGACTAATGTATTGATTAACTTTGTTTATGGGTGCTAGGAATCAAACCTAAGGCCTTACATACACTATTTTTCCAGTAATATAAAAATAAGATTCTTTGGGTAATATAAACAGGAGCCAGGCATGATGGCACTTACCCGCAATCCTGGCACTTTCGGGTGGAGGGGAGATCAGAGGTTCAAGGAGAGCCTCAAGTCTCTATAAAGTTCAAGCTAACCTAAGCTACATAGCACACTGCTATGTCTCAAAAAAAAACATGAAAATGGGTTTCTAAATAATAAAACAATTCTAACAATATAAAATATGTTTTCAAGTGTATAGCAATATGAAAAACTGACAATCATTACTTTAACATTCTAAAACTTCTCCTTAATGTCAACAGATCCTTTAACAAAGCTTTGACAAAGAAACCAATCACAAAATGGGTAAAGTGATATTTGAAGATTAGCTTCTGAATATGTAAGGATACTTATTTGAAATAGGAAGAAAATCTATTAACCTACTATCATGCTTATTACATGCTACTTTGGAAATCAAGATTGTTTCTCAAATTAGCTAAGAAAAATTATGCATACCCACAATGTGATTATGGTTTTGTTTTAAGATGCACATGTACTTTAGATACACAGAATTGGTTACCACTATCTTTAATTCTAGCTGAATCTGTACCTAAAAGACTTTTGATTACAGATGCCCATATGATTACAGGATCACCATATGTGAAGTAATATACACATACACATTTGGGAGTGGAAGCAGCAGAAGAGAGGCAAGGAGACGGGGACAATGGAAGAGGGAGAAGAAGGAGAATGAATAAAAATATAAGAATGAATATGAATGATCAGATCTATGTGTCAAACAACTATTACTTTGGAGGACTATGAAAAAGGAAGCATTCTCCAGGCCCTGACACATAAGCTAAATCATCCCGACAATGTCTAGAAGTAAAAAGGAGAGAGGTCTCATCTGTAGCAGATGTGCCAGTACCTGTGGCTGGAAGAACTATGCTAATGTTCAATCTGTGAACCAGTTGTTAAGCAGCTTTCACCCCCAGCCAGAATTTATTTAAATTGTAAGGATGAGGTGGTTCTTCAACTAGCTGAAGGAGGAGAAAAAAATATGACAGCAGCTGGGCTCAGCAATAAATGCTACATTTACCTTGTTAATTTCAAACTGACTCACTGGGACACTGCCATTTAGCACATTTTCTCCAATTTCTATTAACCTCTTCTGAATGTTTTCCACAATGGTGTCCCGGCTTTGATCAGAAAGAATCTGGCCAATGACAAAGCTGTATAAAGAAAGACAAATATGATTTTTAATAGCATACATTATTAACAAAGAAAAGATAGACATGAGACTAGCATGAGGACAAGAGCTATGTTAAGAGCTAATATGAGGATTAGTGTCTAGAAGGCAGTTTAGATGTTATGTTTATGAGTGTTTTGCCTGCATGCATGTTTGTACATCAAATCTGTGCCTGGTATATGCGGAGGTCAGAAGAAGGTATAAGATACCCTGAAAGTAGAGTTGAGGATGGTTGGTGCTGGAAATAAAACCCAGGTCTTCTGTGAGCCATCTCCCTAGCCCCCACTGTTTTATTTTATTTTTAAAATCTACCAAAAATTTACTAACCTAAAAATTCCATGTCTGCCCTTTGACATATAGATCATTCATTTATGTGGCAACTATGTTTTATGCAATATACAATACAGAAAAAAGTCCGTGCTTTCAGATTTTATGTAATTATAAAATCCAGAAGCAATTATATTCTAACCATAAGTTAAAATTTTAGAAGATAAATTTTATCTTTATTCATAAAGCAACAAGATAGTATTTCTGGGATCAAGATACCATCTCCACCTAACATGACTATTTAGCTAGGCAAGAAGAAATATAAAGCTGTTTAAGTAAACTTTAAAAAAAATCTAAGGGGCTAGAAAACTGGCTCAGGGGTTATGAGTATTTGATCTTACAGAGGATGCAGGTTCAATTCTCAACACCCACATGACAGCTCACAACTCTAGTCCCTGGGAATCTAATGCCCTCTTCTGACAACCATGGGCACCAGGCTTTAACATGCATAGACATACATGCTTGGAAAACACTCATACACATAAAATAATGAACTAAAAAATGGGAAAAATGCAAGATATCAAACTCTTCTTTCTTTAGCTTCATTATAAATTGTTCAGTGTTCTCTAACTTTATGCTATGCATCAAAAAAATCATATTATTCTACAAAGCCTCAAGAATAAAGAAACATAAATGAAGAAGCCAATATTTTATCCATTTCTGAGAAAATGCAGAACAAGGGTTTGACAGCTGCTTTATAATTTGTCAGAAAAAGAATCCTAACAAAAACGTTTGTATAGCTTTAATTACTAATACATTTCTAACTCAGAGAAATTTACTTCTATTATGATGCATCTTTTCTTAGAAAACACAAAAGCTGAGGAGAACACTCTAATCGAAAGCTTATACAAAGTAGTTTCATCTTGAGTATATTTGGGGGCAATGAAGCATTTCAAACCACATTTCATAAAAGGCAGACCATGACCTATACTCAGATGATCAACTTTGCCTAATCAAGAGTAGTTTTGCAGAAGCAACACTTGCTCAATCTCTTAATTTGAAAGCAAAAAAGATTGGAAAATAAGTTTAAAATGCTGATATTTAGCAAAAATTAGAAGTACTTTTAAATCTAGCCATAAAGAAAAAAAATTCTATTTTCAAAACAGATCTAGATCAAAAAATTGGAATATGTAAAGATGGCATATAACATGTCTAAGTATCACTTTTTCAAATGGGTACTTCATACATTATGTGACCACAAAAAAAAAAAAAAAACTTTTGATCATAATATTAAGTTTAAGGTAAAAGGCTAGTGAGTCATGTATTACTTCAGAGGCACACCCATATTTTGGAACTAGCTCTCAAATTAATCTGAGGTAAGAATCATTTATATGCAAATGATAAGCCTCACTCCAAGGCCCACTTTAAATCACACATTTTATGCTTCAAAACAGAGGAATCATAAAAATGATGTTTATAATTAGGATCTGTGGATTCAGGAGTACAAAACACAAGACTTTCAAAAAGAGGAATAGAAAACAGTACCAACAAAATCAACTCTTTAAAGATCTAGGTATAAAGCCGGGCGGTGGTGGCGCACGCCTTTAATCCCAGCACTCGGGAGGCAGAGCCAGGCGGATCGCTGTGAGTTCGAGGCCAGCCTGGGCTACCAAGTGAGCTCCAGGAAAGGCGCAAAGCTACACAGAGAAACCCTGTCTCAAAAAACCAAAAAAAAAAAAAAAAAAGATCTAGGTATAAAGATTTACTCTCAACATAAGATGTTACCTAATAGCTCGTGTTTCCTACTGTGAAAATTTAGCTTTATCTAACTTTTAATCTAACTGTAAAATTCTATTTGTAATAATGCAATACAGAATGAAGTTATATCATTATGCTTGGCAGACTTACAGGCATTTTCCATAGCACTTGGATTTTCTTAAACAAAAATTTGAAGGACAAACAAGAAAACAAAATTAAAAGCCAAACTCACTTTCCAGTGTCCTTGGCAAGATCACACCAGTCTCTTCTAACTATATCTAATCCTTTTAGCTCCTGTTTGGTAACGTAATTCCCATCTGATGTTGGTTCAACAACCAGAGCAGCATATTTCTTTTTCTTCAGCAGCAGCAGAGACTTGAAAACACCATCAATGTCTATTTCAAGCAGCTTGTACAATTTATTCACTTCACTTTTTACCTGTGAAAATTTCAATTATTTTATTGTCAGATTCTCAAACACCTAACAGGGAAAAAAATGCACATGCTATAAATTCCCAAGAGTTAACTTCAACAAAGCTTGAAGGCACATGTAAATTAATTAAAATTTATCATCCAACTTACAGAACACAGAATTATTTAGGGTACAATTTAAAAACTTTGAAAAACAAAGAACAAAATCAGATCTCAACATCACTCTCCAGTGTTTACCGGGAAGATTCCAGTCAGAATCTCACAGAGCTATTGGCTCATGAATGTTTACTGTAGCACTATTAACAATAACTTAGTTATAAAATCAGCCTAGGTGCCCATCAACAGAGGAAAGGATAAATAACATTCAGTATACCCATACACAATGCAACTTTTTCCAGGCATAAAGAATGAAATTATAATGTATATGTAAAACAGATACAGTAAGAAATATTCAGCTAGTTAAGTCAGACTCAGAAAAACAATTATTGGATTTTTCTCACTGTAGATTTTAGATTATACATATACACATCTGTACACATATAAAATCATATGACATGAAAGTAGAAACAAAAAGTGTTTAAGAGAACAAAGGGGATTAACTCACATATGGGGGTAGGAGGCTATGGGGAACATGTCCAAAGTACATTGCAAACATGTACGACAATGTCTGTATAAGACTCAGAAGTATGTACAATGAATACACACCAATAAAAATAAAATAAAGATCATAACAACTTGGGAAGTTGAGGCACGTGATGTCCCTATTGAAGTCAATTTGGGGTGGTTACAAAGCTCAAGACCATCTTGAACTATATAGCAAGATTTTATCTCAAAAATAAAATATTTTTTTAAAAAAACTAACAAATAATAACATAAATATTATCGTTCCATCAAAACAAAGGCTATGATTGTCTCTCTTCACTCCAGGAAATACATAATAACTATAGGAAATTATGTATAGGTCTTTCTGAATCTAAAATAATGCATATGTATTTGCCTTGAAACTACCTAATTAACAACTAGACAATCCAACAATTATGTGGGCAAAAAAATTACATAAAACTTTGTGCGATAATGTCCAAAATGTCCATTAGCACCTTGAATATAGACAAATAGTGATGTGCTGAATGAATAAATGAACAGTCTCTTGCCCTTTGCTGAAAAGGCCAAGGCACAAATCATCACCTCTAGGGAAAACTGCAAAGATTTACAAGGCCCAGTACGAGTACAAAAGGCCAGGCCTATGTACAAGTGAAGAGTACAGTTCAAATTCCACAATTTCCAGAGGGGGGGGAAATCAATAATTTGTAAGGTATTTTCATTTTCTAATATTGGGACAAAATCCTAACAAATCAAGTGCTCAAGAAATACTTGCCAAGTGTGAATCACCATTAAGAGGCTACCAATGGCTGGGGAGTGGCAACATATGACTATAAAGGAGGCAGGGGCTGGTGGATCTCTGTGAGTTCGAGGCCAGTCTGGTCTACAAAGCCAGTTACAGGACAGCCAGAGCTGTTACACAGAGAAACCCTTATCTCAAAAAATAAACAAAAAAAGAGGCTACCAATGACAGCTTCTAAATATCCCTTTGTATTTTCTAATATATTTTAAATACTCCATAAAATTAAATGTGTATGTGTGAGTACATGTGTATGTGTAGATAGGTAAATATTAATTCAATCACTTCTATGTATGAAATATATCTGAATACTATTAAAAACATATTTCCTTGTGAATGACAATGCATGAAGTTCTAATGTGACTACACTTAAACTTTTTTCAAAAGAAAAATGTTATCTACTTCTTAAGGAAACCAACTGCCTTTGAATTTTGCCCTGAAAACAAAATGGAGTATAAGGAAAAATAGGAGAATGAAAAATTTAGTGACACCAAGTTTATTATTTTCAAAAGTATACACATGTACATAACACATGCACTTATTGTATTTACTGTGTTAAATACAAAATTCATAAACCCAGATAAAATAAGCAATCAATAAATTATCTCACCTTATTTCCCAATTTAAATACTTCTTCCAGATTGGTGCTATTGGTATTTATCATAATTGAGTCTGTATCTCCATAAATAACTTCAAGATTCATCTAATGAAAGTCAAAAGTATAAAGATTAATAACAAAAACACACTGATCACTATCCACAATGAAACTAAATGTTTCTAGCACTAGAGACTAGACATGTCACTGATTTCTCACAAGTCATGTTACTATCTATACTGTCAGGATATAAAATTGAAGATTAAGAAAGCCTTCCCAATTTTCTTTTTAAAAACCTGGAAGAGAGCCGGGCGTTGGTGGCGCACGCCTTTAATCCCAGCACTCGGGAGGCAGAGGCAGGCGGATCTCTGTGAGTTCGAGGCCAGCCTGGGCTAC